CCCTGGTCAGGTATGGAAGTCAGACTATATAAAACAATATTGAAAGAATTCATTTGGGATCAAAGAAAATCTCTGGTGCTATTCATGTCATTGGTTTATTAACCTTCGTTCTAGCCAACTGGTTTTTATTTCACATTTTTTCCTTTGCTAAAATTGTAATTTCTCGTGTGTTCATTGGGAAACTCCACTTTTATTTATGATTATTAACTAGTTTGAGCCCTGACGTATCTACTGTTGATTGACTTTTTATGAAAACCCCTGCACTGTGTTCTATGGTGTCTCTTTGAAGGTCAGGGCATGGACTTCCCATTGTCTCAGGGGTCATTTGAGGGCACTGATAAGCCCTCTGCCTCTGATAGGAGACCTAAATTTGAGAAGAGTTAGACAGAAAAAATAAAGTGTTCGTAATCCATGTGCCCAAAACATGCAAGTCAGACTAAACCCCTATCCTTCTCTGGCTTTAGCAGACACAGGAGCCTGCGCAGTGTGCATGAAGAACAGCAGCTCAATGCCTCCTGAGGACCAGGACAAAGGAAAGGTCAAGGCTGACTTCATATTCCTTGTAAGGATTTCTGGAAAATTTGTCTTTTTCTGTGACCTCTAGCATACCCTCATTCATGATGTGTCCTCTGATATTTTAGCATGTCTTTATTTGTCAAAGTGCAAAATAATCTTCTATACAAATCTTCAGACTTCTAATAATTCGAAGCTGTTGTCAATGGTGGAGCCTGAAGAAGCTTTTTTACAAGCTGAGGACTGCAGTTTAACCTCTACACTCCCAGCGAGGAGCATCTGCTTTGTCAGCCAATGAAGCAGTGGGCTAATAGGGTCTACAGGCTGAGCTGGTGTGGACTTCTGCTCGGCCTCCTGCCAGCTCTGTGACTCTGAGTGAATTCTCTAGATCCCCTGAGGTCTCTGTTCTCTTCCATTTAGAGCCAGTATTCTGTTAGGTGTGTTTAAGTCTGATGTAGCTTGTAGAGTTCTGAGAATCAGAGACAGGACATAGAAGGCCTGGGGAAAGCTCTCCTATTGGTGACTTTTACTATATGTGAGGTGAGTGGGTTTCCTTTTTTTTTTTCATTCCCTCTGTTCCTAGTCTGTCAGACAAGATTCTGCACAGTAGTGAGGGAGACATGGGGCTGGCATATACATAGATGGCCCTCTGTTTGCTCTATACCTCAGTGTCTCACATTAGTATAGTTCCTCTTAAATCATTAAATATGTCATTAGGATTTTTTTTTTTACCTTCAGGTTTTTTTTTTTAAGTTACATAATGCTAAATTAACAACCCCTCTTTTTGTGTGTTCACTAACTCACAAAATATATATAGCAGTATAATGTGAATCTATTTCAAGATATAATATGTTATGTTACCCCAGAAAGTGACCTCATCCTCTTCCCAGTCGAACCCTGCTCTCATCTTAAGTAAAAATTTGTCTATTCTAGAATTTCATGAAAAATAGATGCATGCATGCCATGTATTTTTTGATGTCTCCCTTATTCTGCTCAGCACAATGTTTCTGACATTATTCATGTTGTTACATGAATCAGTATTTTGTGGGGACATGTTTAAGAGAGAGAATCTGAGGTGTGGGGACATGCTCTGAGCAAACACCACCTGCTCTTTTGGGGTTTG